TAGTTACCAGATATGAAAAAAGTCATTTTCTTAGGTTGAGTAAACAGACAGACCTTAAAAACTAATACATACTAGCACCAGGGATTTAGCTCAGTCATTCTGCTGCCTGCCTTGCAAACGCAAGATCCCCAGTACCAAGGGAAAAAAAAAACACAAAATCAATACATACTAGATTTCAGGAAATAGGGGCGTTATTTTTTTAAGAGGCTCTTAATTTATTGTACTTTTATTTCTATTAGAAGCAAATTTAATATGAGATTCATTTGATTTTCCTTTGTAATTTTCAATATCTAAATAAGCCACTCAAGCACTACCACTTTTCAAACTGTATATTACAATCCTATTATATTCAGCTTAGCCATGTAACTTCCAAAAACAACAGTATTTAGATATCTTTAAGGTATCTTTACATACTTCAAAAACTCAGAAGTGCCCAAAGCACACTTCTAGATTTAAAACTTTCAATTTTTTATAAAACTTTACACAACAGTGTGAATATAATTATATTCCATGAATGTCTGTTGAACTACAAATGCTTTCCTAAACTACTTTATTTTTGATACATAAAAGAGGGCATTCATTGTCTTTAGTATACCAAGCAGAACTTATATTTTAGCATTAGACAGCACAAGTGTTCTGTTCAAAAATCCTATTCATAAATTGATTGTATATCGCAATACATTTAACTATGTGCTCCACAATTACTTAACTGCCTTACAAAATTTACATAGAGAATCTGTCATCCCTCCCACTGCAGTGAGTATACTTACATGAAAAGAAATTAAAATAATTTCAACAACATACAAAAACAAATTAATGATTAAACTGTGAATATTAAGATATCTATAGGAAACAAAATTCAAGAAGTGAATTACTTAGAAATTAGTTTTTAAAACTATAAAATCTTACTTATAATTACAATAGACTTTTATGTAAAGAGTATAAACAAAATAAGTCCTTACCTGCATTCTAGTTGTAGAATACAAAAATCAGTTGTCAATACCCTCCCCACCCGTCTTTCTGTGTTGTCCAGGCTGTCCTAAAACTTCTGGGCTCAAGTGATCTTCCCACCTCAGCCTCCAGAGTAGCTGGCACTTCAGCCATGCACCACAGTTCTCAGCTTTCCCCTCATTTTTTTCTAAGGTAATATCTAGCCTTCCTAATCTCAAGCTATCAATGTTCTTAAACAGAAAGTTCCTTTTGCTTTCATATTAAATATATTTCTTTATTGACTATATCATGCCTAAAACTATATCATGCAATCACCTAGTACGTAAACTATTTTAAACTTTTCCTCATATTTTAATGCTTATGAAGTGGGAAGCATTTAGAGTACCATTTATAGAGTGCATAAAACTTTGAAAAATAATCTATTTTTCTCAAAACAATTCCTATTCACTTATCAACAAAGAGGTATTTTATAGAACTTAGCCTTTTACAATTTTAAGAAAATTTTAAAAAATAATAAGAATAAATTAAAAACTTGAATTAAAAGTGAATACAGAAGGGCCAGGGATTTACTCAGTGGTTCTGCCACCTGCTTTACCAAACACAAGGTCCAGAATTTGATCCCTGGTACCAAAAAAAAAGTGAATACTGAGTAAAAATTTTAAAGAAGTTTATAACATAAACATATATATCATTAAAGCCTATACTAAAAATGTTTTAAATCATGAATTTAGATCTGTAGGAATTATTTCAAGAAGAAAAGCTCAGAAAATAATCCAAGGCTAGTTCCATCAATAGCAAGAAGAGGACAGCAAATCTCTGAATTGTAACAATTCACTAATGTTTGCTTTTATACATCCAGATTTTTGTAACATATAATTTTTAAATTTAAATCATCCCAAACTAACTATAAACATTTCTAAAATGATTTCACCACATTCTTTGTGCTTACTGACGTTCCAGAAAGCTAAAGGGCTTAGACAGTTTCTGACTACTTTGGCTTTCTATAAGCAATAAGCATTATACTAGCTAATAATCAGCTCACAAACACCAGTGTCAGAAAATTTCTATGAAATGACAAGCTTGGTATGCTACTGCAGATATTTACACAAAAGCCTGCATTTAGCTGGACAGTGGCATATGCCTGTAATCCTAGCACTGAGGAAGGTTGAGCCAGGAAGGTCACAAGTTTGTGTTCTGCCTGGGCAACTTCAGGAGACCCTGTCGCAAGATTCAAAGGAAAAGTAGGGTGGGGTGTAGCTCAGTAGTAGAGCACCTCTAGGTTTGACCCCCAGCACCACACACACACACACACACACACACACACACACACAAAAAAAAAAAAAAAAAAACAATTATGCATTTATTCATGCATACATTCATTCAATATTTACTGAGTCTCCAGCTATCAGCCACTGCACTTGAGAAGTTCACTGTTTAAAGAGCAATGATTAAATTATCATATAACAATTATATGATACAATATAACAAATTCTACATAAAGAGACTTAAGACCTACTTATTCTGAGATTTACATCATCCAGCATTTTGCTAATTGAAGTGGGATCCACGAACCAGTGGAAATGGTATCACGTAGGAGATAATGCAGAATCTCAAGTCCCACCCAAAATCTACTGAATCACAACCTGCGTTTCTAGAAGCTCCCCAAATAATTCCAATGCATTTTTAAACTTGCAGAAGCAATTTAGAGCATAACTAAACACCAGTAAATACGTAAAAGCTACATCAGAGATTCTATGCACTTTCAAGATCTTCAAGCCCGGGCTGAGACTTTCTAAGAATATATACACAAACTTTAACAAGCCACCTTCTAGTTTCACAGATTAGGACTAAATTGGAAGATATTCTGACAGAAAGAAAACAGTAAATATTGATCAAAAGCAATTTCAATGGCTGTATGGAGCCACTTAACACAGCAACAATCTACTATATCTATCTAAAAGAGACCTAAAGGTCTCACTATTACATTAGGTAAAAAAAAAAAAATTGACATTTTTAAATGTGTCTCCAGTAAATAAACCAAAAATTCCTCGAGGACAGGGACCTAGTTTTATTCTTACACTCTCTACATTTGAAAATTGATGACTCTTAGTCAATGAGTTTGGGTTAGGTGGTAACACATTTAATACATCTTAAAAAATGTTCTATCTGACAAAGCTAAAATAAATATACGACAATTAACTTCTCAGTTTATAGCAATCCATTCACCAATCATTCTAGGTGAAAAGACTTTAAAGAACCTTTGACTCCCAAGCCCAAGGTCTTTCCTGACTCTATTCTGACATGGCGGGGTGGGGGGGAGAAATACTGTATGAGAAAGAATGGAGAGAGAAAGAGGACACAGAAAAAAATATCAGAGGAGAATGGAGTGATAATAGAAATCACAAGAGGACATCTCAGAGGTCGTCTATTCATGAAAATTTTTTAAAAACTAAGAAGCCACACCAAAACACAGTAACTCTAGACAAGAATACATGCTGCTTCTAGCAACGATTCACTGCAGGTTGCTTTCCTGGAACCAGAAACATGCTCACAATCAAGCGCTTCCCCAAAATGTTTTAAGCCTATAAAACAGTGGCCCCACAAGTTTGAATCAGCCTGATATAAAAAAAAAAAAATTGGGCTAATTAGGTTAATGGAAGACTCATTTGCCTCTTATTATATATAGTGTGTACACAGGTAAACATCCAGATCTCAGCTGTATTGACATACAACCAACTTGAGTTACAACCAGACCCCAGGAATCAACCGAGTTTGTAAGTCAAGGGTCCACTGTACCCACCCCATGACCAGCCAGCTTACTACCTCCATTTATAATATAATGCACTCTTGCAAAATGACAAACTTCATTTTGTAACCAACTAGGTCACTTTCTGAAAAGTTCTGTCTTGTTACACAACGTACCTATCAGTTCCCCTACTCCAATATAAGCAAAATGAATGTAAAGAAATTACAATTAGGTTATTGTAAGTTTTTCTTCCACACATTGGAGAGTATATGCACTAAGATAATGTCTGATGTTTGCTAATTCAGAGTTCAATTTCTCAATTACGATATTAGCTGTTCCTTTAAACTATTTCCATTTTTTTCTCAAAGGTTATAGTCTACCAACGTCGCATATTGGTTTTTAAGTAAACAAAGTGCCAGTGGGCAATACACATATAATAATGCAAAAGCCATTCAAAACAATCTAACACATGCGATCAATACACTTTGTATCAATTGTAAAAATTACACAAGCTTCGAAAGGTTCCTTTTATTTAAAAGGAGGGGGAGGACAAAGGCGAGGGGAGGGGGGTGGATGAGATGAGGATAAGATGTGCTGTGAATATCAACTACCTTAACAGTTAAGTGCAGTCCGAAGGTGAACGACACCGGGGTGAGTAATGCCTATCAAAAACATCACCAGTCTTGCAACCCAGGTATAAACAGGTAAACATTCGAAGACTTGAGAGCAGCAAGAACAAAGTCCTACACTGCATCGAGAGATATGAAATTAAACTGAAGAAAAAAGAATGGAAAACGAAAACTTATATGGTGGGAGATGAAAGGATACAAAAGAAAAACAAGATGAAAAATAACTATAAGGTAGGAGTCCTCCCTAGCTATATCTCTCAACCCCCGAACCTCTAGCAAAAATCGCGATGCTAATTTTAATAGGTTTTTTCCTTCAAATGATACTCTAGTGCCTCCCATTTACAGCCAAGGAACCTCCTCTTTAACCAGCCTACTCCAACTCCTCTGGACAGGGACTGTGGAAAATCCCATCGCTGAAGACACCCTCTCCAGCACTTTTTGGAAACGGGTGGACGAAGCAGTGGGACCAAACTGAGGCCTAGGGCCTCGGCGCCACCCCTCTCCAAGCAGAGCCCAGGGGCCCTAGGATCAGGACCGGGCCAGCAGAGGGGGCGGGGACTTCTCCGACAACCGGTCTTGCCATTCCATCCCGGCGCTAGCGTCCCAGTGTCACGCAAGATTATAAGAAGAAAGAATAATGGACCAGTGAGAATTAGTCCTGGGCTTTCACTCACCAGTCGTCGCCGCTCAACGTTGGCAGGGGCAGGACCTCCTCCCCTTCCGCCATTGCTGTTGACGTCCACGTCACTTTGCCGAAAAGTGGACCTAGTGCCGAGATAGACTCTAAAACCCAACGTCGTAAAAGGTCTTCCGAAGTCCGGGTCTATGCTTCTCCGCCGCCAAGGAAACAGGGAGGAGGCAAGGGATGGGAAGAACACAACGTCATGGCGTCCTGAGGGCGAAAGGCAGCGTCGGACGCTTGAGGGAGGAGTCTTGGTGGCCCTCCAAAGACTACAATTCCCAGAATGCTGCGGGGCCCCGTGGTGAGTGTTGGAAGATGAAGGTCCCAGTAGGAAGCTTTGAGATGGTGGAGCGTCAGATGCTGGCGAGCTCTTAGTGTCTTCGTTCCAAATTGGTGTCGATCTTAAAAGTTACTAGAGTCCTAACCAGTGGAGTGAGGAGATGAAGTGTGAATTTAATATGATGAAGGTGGGAGTAAAAGGAGACCCATACTGCAATCAATTTCCTACTATAACACCATTTGAAGAAAGAGTGGGATGTAAGTAAAGTGCAGACTACCCCTTTTTGTGGAGCCCAGTCAAAAATACAAATGGAGGTCTATATTGGTTTTTTCCTAAATACATAAAAGTTATGAATCAAGCTAAATAGTAAATAAAATATGTTCTAGCTTCCTACCTTAAATATATCTTAACAGCTTGGAAGATCAAGTCCAAATTTAGAATTCTTCAGCTGGAATTCCAAGTAGGGAGACCTCCCAAGCTTATTCCCTTTTCACTTCAACCCTTTACCCCTCAGGGATAGATAGCTCCACAAATAAGGTGCATCCACACCACCTGGTGGACCAAAACAATTGTCCACCAACAACCCTTGATCATCCCAGGGGCTTTGGGGTGAGTACACACTAGGGCAATGGACCCAAGGGAATACTTTTGCAAGTCCTAGAAACAATGGTGAAGTAGAATTACTTGTAACAATGTGGATAAATCAGAAAAATGTGGGTGTTAAATGAACAAAATAACACACTGATAGTGTCATTTATATTTGCTGTTAAAAAAGCACAGGGCAGGGGATTTGGCTTGGTGCCACCGCCTGCCTCAAAAGCACAAGGTCCCAATTTGATCCCCGTACCCCCCAAAAAAGAGAGCACATTATAAATAGATGCATGTGTGCTTTAAAAATATGTAGAAAATAAATAGAAAATCAGAATGACATTTATATTTACAGTGAGGAGGAAATTGCTTCAAGTAAATGGAATTTTTTTAAAGAGATGGGGTCTCCAGGTTGACCAAGATGGGCATGACTCAAGGCTGACCTGTGTGAAACTCCTGGGCTCAAACAATCCTCCTGATTCAGCCACTTGAGTAATTGGGATTACAGGAATATACCACCACACCTGGCTTGAGTTTTCAATATTTTATTTCTTAAGAGCTGGGAAGTGACTACCAAGATACCCACTATTCTTTATAAAATCTGTACTTTGCTATCTAAAATGTTTAACAATTTTAAAACAATTTGGTTAAAATACAGTACATGAACAGTACAGCAATCTCTGGTCACCATAAATATGGTCACTCTTTTTCCAAAATGGAGATAATCCAGAGTTGCATGCATATTGTTGCACTACAAGCCCCAGATCACTATTTGATGTTCAGTTCTTCATTGGGGAAACTTCCTTTTCACATGGAATGACGTATTTCTCAAACGCTTCCCAAGTAGCCAGGACAATAGACACATACCACTGTCACCAGCTTCCTCATTTTTTGTTATTATTGTATTATTGTATTCATGTGTATGTGTGTGTTGTAGTCACGGATTGCAAGGGAATAGATTTAATACAGGACACATAATTTATAAGATTATTTTATAATACTCACCCAAAAAGTCAAATGTAGAGGAGTGCAAAGATCTATGAACACATGAGAGACCCAAAGAATCCAGCTGAGGGCCTGAATCCCACAGCAATGTCCCACACAAGTCCAGCTAAAGGTCTAGTGCCTAAAGCAACATCCTCCATGAGTCTAGCCAAAGGCCTAGAGCCCAAGGCAATCTTTCATGCTTGTCCATATTGAGGATCTGCACTGGAAAGGTTCAAAGGCGAATGAAGGAAGCTAGACTGCGCTGGCTGGCGGGGTAAAGGATTTGTGCCACCAGGCTCAGAGATCTGCACTGGAGTCTGCAAGCAACCCTCAAGGTGAAGACCAAAGCTCTCCCGGAAAGAACAGCAGCCATTCCCACTGACAGCGAAGCTCCTCCTCCAATGGTAATAGCCAAGTTCACATCAGGAAAACCAACCATAGCAAGCTTCTCCAAGAAAATCAACAGTCAGCAATCTTCCTCTCCAGTTCTCTTTTTATGCCATTGGTACCAATCCTCAAGTGGGCCTTCCATGCACAAAACCATGCTGATTCAGTTCATCTGGGCATTCCAAGTTGACCATTAGTTAATTCACCACAATGAGTATGGCGGGGGAGGGACAAGGAAGAGAGTGGATCATAGCTCTTGATCATTTATTCCATGTTCATTCACTTAGGTAATGATGTAGACCTATGGTATTAAAATGTATTAATCCACTACTGTATAATAAATTAACTCAAAACTCAATAATTTAAACAAGTAAACACTTTTCTCATAATTTCTGTACATCAGATATTTAGAAGCAATATAACTAGATATTCTGGTTTGGGGTCTTGTAAAGTCACAAGATAACAGGCCAAGGTTGCAATTATGCAGTCAACTGAAGGCATCGTGAGGGCTAAAAGAGTCATTTCCTAGGTAGTTCAGTCACGTATCTGACAAAATGGTGTTGGTTGTTGACAGGAGAGATCAAGTCTTCACCAAACGAACCTCTCCCTGAGTTGCTTAAATATCTTCTTGACAGGATGGCTACCTTCCCACAGAGTAAGAGTTCAACAGAAACCAAGATCAAGGCCACAGTATTTTTTAAACACCTTGCTTCAGAGGTCATATCATATTCCTCTCATTTCTGCAATATCTTCTCGGTCAGTTGTATTCAATGTGAGAGAAAACTACACAAAAGTTTATTGGATAATCAAAGGTAATAAAAGCCTGTCAGGGGCTGGGGATTTAGCTCAGAGGCACCACCCTTGCCTCAAAAGAGCAAGGTCCTAAGTTCGATTCCCAGTACAAATAGAAAAGCTTGTCAGATACCCAAAGACAGGTCATCTTAGAGGCTGGCTGCCACATGAGGTAACAATAAATTTTGTACATTCTTCATTGTATATCAAACTTGCCCCTGAGATACTTGCCCATATCATCTTTGCCCTGTTTACCTTTTTCCTCCCCTGAACTTCTAAATGATTAGCAAGCCCATTCATCTGGGCACTGAGTCATATAACACTATGTAATCTTTAACTCAAAGACTGGAAACCATTTTTAAGTTCTTTTGTAGACTCCACCAAATATAACACTAAGAATATGGGTGGTGCCCCAAAATTCTTGTTAAATAAAAAAATCCTCAGGCCAGAGTTTTAGCTCAGTGAGGCAGACGCCTGCCTCACAAACACAAGGTCTGAGTTTGATCCGGATACCACAACAAAAGAACAAGAAAAACCTCATTTTTGTTCCTATAAAAATCATGTGTTCAGAGTTCTAAACTTTCCAAGGGATTTTCCTTTTTATCTTACAAGGCAAATGTTTTGTAGTTATCCAAATTATTTCAGTTATTTCTAACTTTTTTTTTTGTTTTTGAGAGTCAGGGACTAAGTCAACTAAATTGCCCAGGCTGGGCTAGAACTTGTGATCATCCTAGCTCAGCCTCCTCGCATCTAAATGATGAGCATTTAAAATTAGAAATAAGCCGGGAATGGTGGCTCAAGCCTGTAATCCCAGCACTCCGGAGGCGAGTTTGAGACCAGCTGGTCTCAAACTCACAAGGCAAGAGGATCGCTGTGAGTTTGAGACCAGCTGGTCTCAAACTCGCCTCCGGAGTGCTGGGATTACAGGCTTGAGCCACCATTCCCGGCTTATTTCTAATTTTAAATGCTCATCATTTAGATGCGAGGAGGCTGAGCTAGGATGATCACAAGTTCTAGCCCAGCCTGGGCAATTTAGTTGACTTAGTCCCTGTCATAAAATTTTTTTAATTATTAAAAAAAAAGGTCTGAGGGTGTAGCTCTGTATGAAGGCCCTCAATAACCAAACCCCTGCCACCCCCCAAAAAAGAAAAAAAAGTCTATGATAGCCAGCATGTCAAAGCCTGACATTCAATTTAATGATGAACAAAAGCAAGTTAATTTCCATTCACAAGTGATAAGTGAATAATTGGCAGCAATTTCAACATCTGTTTTAAATTCATTTAAAAGTGTTGAACAGTACAGTGATAAATGGAAATCATAATATTTCTCCATGATTTTTCAAGTAGCTGTCTTTGTTAATTAAAATAGAATCTTAATAGGTTGTGTAGATTGTCCCAAAGTAAACATTTGGATACAGATTGACCTATTTTGAGTTTGGGATGTCTGCTTCAATGTGGGAGACTTTCTTCATTCCAAATTTGTTTCCAAATGTTTGTGGTAAAAAGCTCTTATTGGGGTTGGATCACTACTGATTGGAAAGAGGGGTGTTAAACAGTATGCTAGCTGGACTTAGACTTAGTTTTTAAAACTTCCTGCTTTCTGTGAGTTAACATCTGTAAGGGGACACACACACACACACACACACACACACACACACACGAAAACACTCACTCTAAACAGCATCTCTAGCAGTGCTAGCCTTTATGTGTAGTCTGTCTCCATTCACCTCATATACTTGTACTCAGCCTTTTTAGGTGTATGTCTTGCCAAATAAAATAGGATCAAGCAATCTTCTAAGGCAGTTAGGTGGAATTACAGTACATGATACATGCTTTTAACAGTGTGGTTTAAAAATATAGATGGGCCGGAGATTTAGCTGCCTGCCTTGCAAGCACAAGGTCCCGAGTTCGATCGCTGGTACCGAAAAAACAAACAAAAATAATAATAAAAATATAGGCATGCCGGCCAGGGATTTAGCTCAGTGGTTGTGGCGACTGCCTCGCAAGCACAAGGACCTGCGTTCAATCTCTGGTGCCAAAAAATAAATAAATAAATAAATAAATAAATAAAATATAGGCATGTGTTACAATTTCTATGAATACGTGGTTTAGAGTCTGACTTTTCTAATACCCATGAATAATTGTACAGCGTATCACTGTCATTCTATATTCCAACTTATGTTAGAAGTTTTTAAAAAAGAATTCCTGAA